TACGGGTATATAATGAAATTATTCCTGTGAAAGTCCTACATAATCAAGTCAATACATAATCAAAGAACCGCTGAAGACGTATTCATCTCTATTTCAATATAAACAACTAAATAAAGATACAGAAACAACAAAATGTATATCCTCTTAAAATAAAACAAGTGTATCTATTTGCTTAAAAAGTATCTTTATATTGTAGTCACGTCATATATTGAATTTTTGGATATGTCTCATATTGGCATAACTTGAAAGGAAAGAAGATGTTTCGTATCTTCGTATTTTGTGTCAATAACACTTGATTGAAAAAAAAATTTGTTAATTGAAATTTATTTTTTTTATAAATAAAATACTTGATTGAATATTTTTGACACTGAAAGTAAAAAAAATGAAATATTTCACAATATCTGAAACTCATTATGCGTTTTGTATATAATATATTAGTGGAGGAGAAGACGTTGCATTTTTGAGAAAGGTGATATTGATAGATATTAGATAATTTCAGTAAATCAAAGAAGTGTCTTAACAAACAGTCATGATGCATTAACAAAGAATGTACATATCTATAAATAGTTCTTCGATTTATTTAGGGAGGCCTTCAGCTCCTCAAGCACCTACTATGAGCATTAAATACTGGTTGCTTCAAAGCTTTATAAAGCTACAGACTACATAATTTTATGTTTTTGTTACAAGCTATAGACTCGTTATTTTCTAGAAGTGTAAAATCTTTGTCAAATTAAATTTGTAGTATCTTGAATAAAACTTTTAAAACTGTTAAATACAAACATATAAGGTTAGTTGTTTAGAACAGCTAACCAGAAGCAGCTTTTGTTAACATTGTTTTACCATTGCATTTAGATTATTTTTAAATTAAAATTAAGACATCTATAGATCTAAGATTTATAGATATACACACGTTCAACAACTTTCCCTTATTAAATGTTTTTATAAATAATAAAACCATATTCATATATATGTATATATATATAATGTAAATTTTCATACACGTGTCTTTTTTGATATATTTTTAATATAAAAAATTAATAATAATAATTTCTTGTCTATTCTTTGAATAAATATAATTAAAATGCTCAAGAGATATTTAGTATCTTAGTGCTTCCTTTAATATTTACCCAACCAAATAACAACGTAACATTGGCCTGACGGAAAACACTTAAACATGCGATTTAAATATGCTTTTAATATAGTTTTGTATAACAAACTCATGTAGAAATGTTAATTAATAAATATAGTAAAATATTTATTATTCTTAGATAAATATGAGTTAAACTTTTTCATGCTTACCCCACTTCAGCCTCAGCCTAAGCCTCAGCCAAAGTTGTTCATCGTCAACGTAATTACTGTCATAAACGCACCGTAATGACTTTAACATAAGTTCGAGTAGTTAATACGTAATCAATAGCAGCTGCTGGATGAAGTGGCCACTTAATTGGATTTGGTGAAGTGGACTTAACCAAATTATTTTATTGTTTTTAACGTGAACAAGAAAAATATGCAAAAAATATTTCAATAAAAATCAATCAATTTCCTAATTTCAATTTCGAAATCTATTTCAAGTGTAGTCAATCGAAACCCTTCGCAAATAGAAATAACAAAGATTTAACATAACTAACTAAACATATGTTCATATATAACATATAACATATAACCATCAATATATATATGTATATATATATATTTAATAAATAAATAAGATACATTTATGGTAGTTTTATATTATACAAATTTGTTTGTATTTTTCAAGGGTTTTATTACAATATATTTTTAGTTATCAGGTATTTCCACTTAATTGATGAATGAATGAAATTGCTTATAAAGTTGTAGTTATTTGTTACCAATAAAATATCATAGAGAGATAAATTTGATTTTAAACTGCATACACCACAAACCGATAACTGTATCTAGATACAAATACAAGTATCACTTTTAATTTTATTTGCTTATATTTTCGTTGTAAAATATTTAAACAAATTTATTTTTTATTTGCTCTTGTAATATTTCATAGATAGTAGAAATGTTAAAGGAATATTTTTAATATTAATTAAATTTTAGATATCATAATTTACGTAAATAAAATATACATAAATTGGTATCAAATTTTTACTTTATTTTCAATTTGAAATATTTCTGATTTTTCTCATATTCTATATATTTATATATATATTTCTTTATTTCTATATAATAGATATTGTTGTAGATGCAGTTCACATTTTAAAATAGAAACATTTGTATTCTACATTTTTACATATCAATTATATTTTGTTTTTTATTTTTAAAAATTGAAAACACTACTAAACTTTCAATTATTGAACTATAAATATTTTAAATATTTATTTAAATTTATTTATTAATATACGGTACTGGCGTTATTCACAGCTTTTATTTAGATTATTTGAAGCTTGAATTTTTCTGAATTTAAAACAAATCTTAAGGTTTTTATTTCTCGATGCTTTGCATTATTATAATTTCAATAAAAATATACTTTTCACATTATTTCATACTTTTTAATATACTCGTATCAATAAAAAGTAACATAAAATATATTTAGCAGATGCACGTGAAATTAAAAAATAAGCGCTTGCATTATCCTCTCCCCATCTAACATTGTGTACCTGAGCAGACCAATAAAATTTTTATGCATATATGCAGTTAAATATACATTAATTCCTTTACATATATGCTGTATCTCTCCGGTTTTCTTTTACGACCGCTCCTTTGAATGTACCTATCAACATTTGTAGGCGTTAACGTCTTCCCAGACAAATGGTAATCTCAAGCAGCTTCTTGCCTTTGCTGGTGTGAAAGTATTATTTACGGTCTGACACTCACGAAGTACGAAAGGAGCTCGTAAATATTTATCAAAAAATTGTGTAGGTAGATGCATGGCACGAAATAGGAACAGGGTATTCTCCACCTCCACTTCCACCTCCTCCTCCACTTGACGCAATAGACTTGCATAGTTTATATGAAAGAAATTATAAAAAAAATATTGAAGTAACAAAATGAAACGAAAAACTTTAACTGAACTTTACTCGACTTAACAAGGATAAATGATCCTTTTTCGCTTTAGTAGAAGACAGCAATGTAATTGGCTACAAAAGAAAATTTGCATTTAAAGGATGACAACGACAACGGCAACGACGATGGCAACGACGATGGCGATGGCGATGACACTGACATAAGGCAACAAAATGTATAAAATTAAATTGATTATAAAATATATTTGTATGTAAATTAGTTTAGTGAATGCATTAATTCTGAGTTGAAAATTTTCATGTCTAAAACGTATGTCAACGCTATCAAATTGATTCCTCGAATACGACTGACAGAAATATGTTCCAAAAATAACATTTTGCAGTGTGAAAAGACTTAATCACGTTTACATATCATAGGTATATATTATAATTTTTACTATATATTACAATTATATATTCTATAATAATGTAACATTATATGTACTATAATATACAACGTAATATTATTTATTGATTCATAGAAATTCATACAGTAGTGACGTCTGCAACATAAAACACTTTTCATAGATTCCTACAGGTTATTAGTATTGCTACCAATATACAAAATATATACAATAATGTTTCATCAAACTGACACTGCAGTTATATGCAACATTTTCTGTCATGCATTCATTACTTTATATTACGAGGTATAGTAATATAATATATACATATTAGTGTTTTAGTGTTCAAGCACCGAACTGTTCGAGCAATTAATGTATATTCGAATTTTAAGATTAGGATTCAACATTTCAAATGCTTGTGTTCAAGATATTTGATGTCTTGAAGATATTATAACTACTCAAAGATATTGGAAGGCTTGACGATATTCGACCTACTCGATATTGAAGATATTTGAAGCTACTTGAAGATATTTGTGCTACTCGAAGATATTCGAGCTACTCAAACACATTCGAGCTACTCCAAGATATTCTAACTACTCAAAGATATTCGAGTTTATGACGATATTCGAGCAACTCGATATTGAAGACACTCGAAGATATTCGAGTTACTCGAAGCTATTCGAGATACTCGAAGATATTCAAATTATTCGAAGATATTCAAGCTACTCGAAGATATTCTTTAAGCTACTCAGAGACATTCGAGATCTCTAAGATATTTAAGCTACTCGAAGATATTCAAATTATTCGAAGATATTCGAGCTACTCGAAGATATTCTTCAAGCTACTCAGAGACACTCGAGATCTTGAAGATATTTAAGCTACTCGAAGATATTCGAGCTGCTCAAAGCTATTCGAGATACTCGAAGATATTTGAATTATTCGAAGATATTTGAGCTACGCAATGCTATTCAAATTAGTCAAAGATATTTAAGCGACTTAAAGACATTCGAGGCCTTGAATATATTCGATCTGCTCGAAGATATTGGAAACACTAAATGATTTTGTAGGTTTTAATGATATTTGAGCTACTCGATATTGTTCGAACTACTTGAAGAGTTTGAGCTACTGTGTGATATTTGCGTTATTCTGATTTGTGTTTTATTTTATTTTGCTTTTCTGTTATACAAATACGTATAACAACAAGCTTGAACACCATATGGTCTTTAAATATAATCAAGTGGGTCGCAGTGGGTCACCCAATGCATTTTTGTTCTCAAAATCTAGCCAATTTACTGTGTTCACTTGTTCTGGGTCACTTGAACGTGCTATCTTACACTATAGAATGAGTACTTCAATTGAGTTTACACAACTTATGTTATCTATTAATTCTTTCGAATTTGCAGATTATTTTTTTATGCGCATTGCTTCATTGAACCTGTCTAGCAAGCATATCTTAACCTAAGTTATAAACAAATGCTTAATTTGGGAATTACTTACACTTACTTATCATATTAGTTATTAGAACAACAACATTCCTCTATTATATTATGCTTTATATTACGTTTCCTTAGAGTAAATACTTGTTATAATTCAATAATTAAGTGCATAATACACTTGATATATATTTTTATGGACAATTGACAGCGACCCATTGACACGCTGTAGTCGGTGATATCTGACCATTTACGAAATGTTCACTGTCATTATATAAATATTCGGAAGCACAGATATTTACGCCATTTTGACTAAACACCAAACCATTTTCTACCAGTTGCGCTGACCAACTGCCATTAGCCGGTACGTTATTCCCACGAACCGCTGCAATAATATTGTCCTGATAATAAATCAAAAACATGCCTTTATTGATATGGTTCAGAGCAACATTAACCGCGAGACCATCATTGTTATCAGTCACACTGATCATAACAGTTTCCAGCTCCTCATTGTTCATGTCGAGATCGAAAGTGGTTAATACAAAGTAACGCGTATCGCTCATCTTATCGGTACTGCTTATGAACAAATATTCACCATTAGCTACGTTTTTCAAACAAAAATTCGTGGAGAAGAAGAATTTCTGTAAAGTCTCAGGCAGATTATTGATGGCTTTCGTCATATTGTTGCTCATGTTGTTGTTAGTATAGCCCCAAGACTTAATCTGTTGGAAGTAATAAGACACTGCAAAGAGGTAATTATTGTTATTGGCATTGAACTGCCGCTGACGCCAGTACAAGGCCAACTGCAGCGATGCCATGCGTTCTAAAGCGAATGCATCGTTCTTGTTGCCAGTGCGTTGAATGTATGAGGCAAATACTGCTATTTGGTCGAAATTTGTAAGCTTTTGTATCGCAATGTCGTACACATCTTGTTGTGTGGCTGCGGTATAACGAATAACTAAATAATTAAAAATCCAAATCACTTGTTCTCTCTTTATAGTGATATAGGCGTCACTATTGAGAATCTCTGCTAAAGATGTGGCATCTCTCTCGATTCTCTGCTGGAGTTCAGTGTTGCCAGAGCCATTTTCCTGTATAAACGGATTAATATTCTGGAGATCTGCTGTCCCAGATGTGGTTACAATCGCAGCTAAAATAAAAATGGATGTTATTGCTTGACGCATCTCAAATGATTGACGTAAACTAGAATGGTTGTGGGAATATAAATGCCCTTTTATACTATCTTTTTGAGTAAAAAAGTTATATTGCATAAAAGTTTTATATTCAATTGTTGAAGATAAGAATTTAGAATATTATTTATAGTTATTTTTTAGTAAATACTTATATTAATTGACGACCACTTAAGATTTGTGGATGTTTTATTTACTGCAGTTCTCTTAAAAAAATTAATTACCTATTATATACTATGACAGTAAACAATAATTAATTAAATAAATACAAGTAAATAGAGTACTTAGATGTTTATCAGTATGAGTCATGTTATTTAAATTAGAACAATCCAACCAAAGCCAAAGATAAGGTTGAGTGAAGCACTGCTTTCAACATCGCGATTAGTAAAGATATTTATATTTGGAAAAGCAATTTCTTATCAAACTGAATTTTTTTCAACAGCAAACTCGTATTGATTGATTGACTATAGAGGGCTGCGTCTAGACCCTAGTAATGGTTGCGTAGTTGTAGGTTATACAAATTTTTTTAATACTACGGATTTTTTCTAGACATTTCTCATACAAAAAATTATTTCCATAAAACTTGATAGTAAAGTTTTAAGCAGTTCAATATCGAAGTAACTAAATTTATATATGATTGCAACAAAAAAGGTGTTCAGATTGAAGAATTACCATAAACAGCATATTTAGTGGATCACATACTTTCAGAAGAATATTAATTTTTTATAATTTACTTGTGCTATGTAATTCTATAATAAAATTGCAATTTAATCAAATTTAATTTGAATCATATATATATCATTAGCAATTTGGCTTTAGGAATGACCTGTCCATGGAGCTTCCTTGGCTAGAACGACCCAGATGATCCAAACAGCCCTCAGTAGAAGAGAGTAGACTGGAATGATCAGTTTTGATATCTCTAAAGCTTTGACAGAGTTTGGCATGATGACCTGATAGTAAAAATGTCTCATCTATGTATTCCTGGCGAGCTAACGAAGATCATCGAAAATCAACAGCGCTCCCTCGTCAGTTGGAACTATAGAAGCAAGGGTTCCTCAGCGATCGCCACTCTCCACAACATTTATACGACCGATATCCCATGTACTCTCAACATAACCAACTCAATTCAAGAGCATATAAACCTCATTCTGCAGTATTTCCAGAAATGGAAAATGAAATACAATAATAAAAAACTAAAGCTCTGTTCATTACGTGTAAGAGGAGACAGAACCCGTCGAGATTGAGAGTAGGAGATATGGTAATAAACTGGGAGGATAGTATTAAATATCTAGGCATCACGGTGGATACACGATTCACATATATTAAACATGTTCAACTGAAAAGAATTGGCTGTGCCAAAATTCTTCATCACCCTCAACCGCTATTCAAAAATGAAAATCTGAATGCGAAAACCAGGAAGATGATATATAATTAAATAATTAGGCCGTAACAGTGTTCTGCATTTTCATGAACACATTTGAAGTGCTTGAGGTTCTACAATATACGAAGTTGCGATGTCTCTAGAATAAAACTTTAAAGACTGCGTAGTCCTGTTTCATCGGGAATCGCAAGAGACTAATAAGAGTATGTATGGTTTATAACCAGCTAGATTAGTCCAACATTAAACGATTTAATTTTTTTAATTCCAGAAAGGCATTTAATTTAAACTCAACTTTAGGTATTTAAATTGAAAATCTAATTATGAATTATATTATTAAATTGTTTAAATAAATAACAGTTATAAGTTCAAAATTTATTTATTTTTTAAACATTTTTAACGAAATTAAAATAAAAATATTAAAATGAGCTTAAAATATTTCAATGTAGCCGAATAAAATCCTTTGTTAATCCTTTTTGATTAATTGTTGTGAATTATAGTTTTGCCAAATCATTGATTGCCTTTTCTACACTAATTTTCATGTTTTTATTTGTATAACCCCAGGATTTTATCTGCTGGAAATTCTTTCTAACCACGGTTATATACTTATCATTAGTGGGATTGTATTTCTTTTGACGCCAATAGAGGGACAATTGCACTGCTGCCATACGCTCTAGTAAAAAACTGTCGTCTTTGTTTCCAGTGCGGTGTATAATTTGGGCAAGAGTATGGATTTGATCAAATTTCGTAATTTTCGGAACGGCTATGTCTAGTACATCCTGTAATGTGGCAGTATTATAACGACTTTTCAATGTATTGTAGACATCAGTTATATGCTCCTGTTTGATAGCCACATATGCACCGCTATTGAAAGCATCTGCTAAAGTGCCAGCATCTTTAGTGATCTGCTTCTCTCGTTGGTTAAAAGATTTTCTGCCTTCAATGGAAGGAACCACCTCTGCTGGAGCTACTGCCGCAATAGTATTTATCACAAATGCGGATAAAAGTAAGGTAAGTACTAACACTGCCATTTCTGGTGCTTTTAGAAACTATGAATTAATTTCAAATTTTAATGGTTTATATACTGGAGGAAATGAAATTAAACTGCCTACTTCTTATCAGTTGCATTCGAATTAAGTACTGATAGTGGTTTGACATATTTTATTAATTAAAAAATATTTTTAAATGTAAATAAAACTTTAAGTAAATAAAAATCTTTTAAAATCATGTATTTCCTATATTAATAATTGTGGTTCACCTTATGACTAAATAGCATATGCCTGTGTGGTCAAACAGTTTTCGATGGAGTCCAAACTTGTCTATTATTTAATTCTACGTTGAATGAATCCAATCCATTTAATCGTACTACTGAGTAATTTAAATCTGTAAAGGATGAATTTTCAGTTTAACCTCATAATTTATTACTAGTAAACAAAATGATGCAGTAAGCATTGGTATTTATTAGAGCATATTTATATATTTAACATAAAATCTTTTGATTATATTTATATAGATCGTTTTTTTTAAAAATAACATACTAGACTGTGATATATATAAAAATGTTTATATCGTAAAAATCTAAAATAAATTATCATTTTTAATTTCAAAAACGAACAGAATAAATTTCAGACTTATGTCGTACATTTACTTTGGAACACAATATTTCGAAAAATGAAGTTAAATAAATTTGGTATCCGTACGAAACGCCAAAAGGTTAGTTTGGTAAAAATATTTTCATTTCAATGAACTAAAATCTATGGTTAAGCAATTTGTGAAAGAATTTGTCAATTAAAAGCTAAACAATAATCCAGTCAAGTCGTAGAGAGCGGTTATGAAGAAACCTCGCTGTTAATAGAGAATAAAAGTGCTTAAGTGCACTGACTCAACTAGCTTGAACATAATAATAAAAAAGTTACATACATATTTAATATTATACTATATATTAAATATGTAATGTATATACATAACAATTTTATATATTTATTATATTATATTAACAACATATAAAACAAATTTATGTTTTTCATTTAAAGAGAAAGCCATCTAAGGGAGTAACTACCAAAGGTAATAAAGTACGACAACAAAAAGCACGTGAACTATCTGAAGAATTACCTTCCACATCCAGGGGTGCTGTATCGAAACAACTTAGGTACATAATTTAAATTTTTTCAAATTCTTATCCTAAAGTTTCTCACTTTCTCTTAAAGGTCTCGTGAGTTTAACTTACTTATACGTTGCGCTAATCAACAATTCAAGGAGATTTTTAAACGTGAGTATAGAAAATAAATTAATTTGTCGTTTTTACAATCCAAAAATATGCATTCCCTAGAATACACTAACAACAAGAAACACTTTGAAGAAGAGGCCGCAATCATATTTAATGATGAAGTTTCATTAAATTCAATGCCTTTGCATTTAGAAAACAATATCGAAGAGTTGAATAAGATTCGTGCGATTGTCGGCATTCCTTTATATAGTTTGAGTGTAATGGAAGAAAATGAAACAGAAGATGAGTTATCTGAGGATCTTTACGCAAGTGATGAGAATACTGTAACGGACATCGAATCGGAACAGTCGGTTGTATCAGAAGAGTCAGTCGAATTAGAACAGGAACAGATAGTTAAACCAAAACTGCCTATTGAATCAGTACACACAGTTAATCCAAAACGGGCGGAAGATATAGAACATGTACTCGAGGTGGAAGTATCTAAAAAGAGATACTTTGTCATTCGTAAACATAGGAAAAAAGTTGGTGCAATTAAAAAATTTTTCAAAATTTAAATTAAATTGAAATGCAAGTACGACCATTCTGAGAGTGTGGATGAAAATGATGCCAGTATATTTTATAACCAAATCTTTTCTTGTAGTTTTTATTGTTTCTTTTTTTATCATGTGTATTATATTTCAAAATTGATAATATATATTTCTTGATACGACTATCAATATATGTACATATATACAGAAAAGTGGTTAAAACATGTTGGTGTAAATAGTCTTTCGAAGTATCATTGTGAAGTCAAATGTGACTGATATTAAAGTAAACATTATAATAACAATTATTTTAAGGATATGTAGTCAGAAATATAGTTGAACCACATTATTATTTTCAACAATGGTTCTGCAGATACGTGTCAGCGTTGTGTTTATGAGATATGAACTAATTTCTTATAATTGGTTTAATTGTATTTTAATCAATTTATTCTCGGTTAAGGCCTCAGTATTTTATTTCTCTATATCGAATTCAGTTCCCTTAAGAAAAACCGTTTAAATTTAGTCATTTAAATGCTCATTCCTTAACGTTTATATACCACACAATGTGTAAATAACTTATATTAATTATTTTGATTTAAGTTTCTATTAAGTTTTTTCTTTGCTTTAGATAATAAAAATTTAAAAAAGTCTAATTAGTTTATTTTAAGTAAAATTAATGATACTAAACGCCCATCTTTGAGAAGTGCTCGTTTGTCTGTGGCAAACTTTTTTAAAACTTCTGCAGAATTTGGAACGTTTCCTGCATTTCAGAGGGTAAAAATTGCACTGTGAAGAAAAAGATTTCAAAACTTATTGCCAAACTTAAATGAGATTTTATCTTTTTACTATTTTATCTATTTCTGTAACGCATGCTGGCAATAATTTTTTTGACAAAGTATCTGATAGATAATATATTTTTTATTTAAGTTTCATTCTCGGCACAGTATTTTAGCCGTAAGTAATAGTTAGTTAGTGTTAAGATGATGATTACAAAAAATCACTTGTAAACCAGATGAAACTATAGATGTAATCGCGATCCAATTAATAACAATGGCAATTCTTAATTGCAATAAGATTGATAAGTATTCTGTACGTACTAAGTTCAGAGTTAAAAGGTGCTATCATTCGGAGACAACTATTGCCCATTGTAATACCCTTAATGTAGGTAGTAATACCCTTAGATGCCTTAATTCGGTGTTGTAATGCGTTGCGATTTATTCTATCATAAATGTATATGCTAAGAACCACTTCACACATAGGGCTAGAATTTAATCAAAGTACATGTTTAAGTGGTAAGCTTCTTTAGCAGGATTTAAAGAACTAACTTCATAGGCATGATGTGCATGGAAAAAAGGAATTTGCCTTCAGCAGAAAAACTATTGTATTTAGTTGAGGACTATAGATATTGTAGCTAAATTGCACTCATTTCTAGCTAAAAATTAACTGCACTTAAGTTTGTGAGTTCTTGAATACGAATTGACTTCTGTATTTTAAAACTATTTGAATACCTTTCCAAATATCATTTAAAGTGTTTTTTAGCATAAGTATCTTTTAGTTTGAGTGGTTAGTATTTTAAGACACTAGCTTTATTATATACAATATAATATTTAGCATGTTAAGATGGTCACTAAAAATGTATTACATATAAAGCTACAGTTTATATAATCTTTTGCACTTCATCCATTTATTCTGATGGAAAGATAGTATCTATTATTATAAGGTGTATTGATACGGTGAACCCTTTTGTTAATAATCATTTTTCATAAAGCAAATAAATCTACAGACTATATGTAACTATTTTGCTATTATGATACCGGTAACAAATATTAGTATTTGTGGCCTTAGTTTAATCCTTTAACTCCTATGCTCCTCAAAGGGCCGTAACAAATAACTTCCACTCGGTACGATTGGTGGCCAATAGATTCAATTCTCCCCAGCCTTTCCGCATGTGTGACATTTCCGTGTTGGTTTGTCTTCTCCAGGTATGAGTAGGCCTTAGTTTTGCTGATCCATCAACTTAATTTATCTATTTATCTAAAACCTGAACACATTAAAAGATATAATTCAAGTCATAGTGGTTTTTATTGTTCGTTTTCGTAACAATTTTCTGATTGAAGATTACAGTTCTTTAAAAACATTTTATACAAAATTTTGTAATGGGAAGTTTAAGAATTAGCACTTGTTTCAGAATCATCCGAAACATTATCAGAAGTATCAATAATCGAAGAAGTCGTTGATGTTTCTTCAGGGATTTCACCTAAAATGAAGTCCAAAAAACTTGGATTTTCTGGAAACAATAAGTTTCTTATGTGAGAGCGATAGGCTTGCCCTACCCCTGTGCCTTCGTGATCGAAACTGTTAGTTTTCTTTACTTCCTTTTCCTTTTTGTCGTTGTTACAAATGTAGTCAAGCAGTTTTGGATTACTTACGAGTTTTTCGTCTTCTTCTGCTGCCTTTTTAAACCAATCGTAATCATTGTCGTCAAGAAACTCATCATCATCATCAGCGACTGATTCACCATCGCTGCCATATTTATCATGGTCGTGACATATTTGAAGCTCTTGCAACTGCTGTAAATATAATTTTATTCAGAATATTCTAAGAAATATCGCTATCATTGTATGTTTCATAATGAATTGCGCTCTCATTTGAAATCACACATAAATAATTTATACTATATTCATATAATTGCACACTTACGCTGTCGGTTGTATCACTAGAGCTGTCCAATGGAAGTTCACGTGTAAATCTGAAGGGCTGCATGTTAGGAAATCAGCATACACCCACTTTCTAGCGCGTCCTTTGCTGAAAAGAGTTTTGACAGGTCAAAAAACAAGCTTGACAATATTTTGTAGTAGTAGATTGTTGTAGTTCGCTATCATTCACAATAGATCTTACCTCTGTCACGTGTTTATTGTGACCAGAAACGAAGACTGAATTAGTTGTGCTGTAGGCAATCAGCTGCAAAATAGGGTAAAAGTAAGAACCAAATGAATTTTGGTTTTCGTCGAAAGAGCAGGGAAAATCTAATATCACTTTATACAAATATGAAGCAATTGCGTTTTTCTGAGTGCGAAGTATTTGATGATCGTATTTGACTTGTGTTGTTTGTGTTCTTATGCTGTTGTGCTTTAGCGTTTATCGAAATGATAATATTTTTATTTCCAATGTGATTCGGAGTCATATTCTATTTTATTGTTTTTATCAATTAGTTTTTACTTGTATCAGTTGCGGCTATATTTGAATGCTATTTCGATTAAATTATTTCAGATATTTTTCAGTAATTGCTTCACTTTCAGTAATTGCTTCACTTCTAGCGAGTTAATTGTGAAAATGCGGTTATTAGTGCAAATAAATATGACAAGGGAACTTGTTAAATGTATAAAAACTAAATAATTACTAACATTTAATGTTAGTGTGTCTTTAAGGTATTTGACTTTTTATTTTATTTAAACTGGTTTAAGTATCCTTAAAATTAACTTAAGTATATTTTGTCACAGTATCAAATTAATTTCCATCAAATTATTATTTATATCTAATGCGCTATAAATAAATAATATTAGGTTTGTACCACGAGCCTCTCGTAGTAACTTTGAGTAACACTGCGTATACATAAATTCAAATTTTCGATGCTCTCAGATGCAGTTTGTGCATTACTTGTATTTTACTTGAGTTTTACTACGAGTAGCTTATGGAACAGACTCTACTACTTCAGTCACTTGATCTGTTGAAATCATAACTTCTTTTATTCAACGGTTATCTGATATTTAAAAACCTTCAAACCACTGCTTGTTCATAATTATTTTGATTATAATTAAATTAACTTGAATTAATTAATTTGATTGATTAAAACAACTGTTTTAACTCATGGATTTATTAGTTATGGATAAAGGACTTTCATATTTTATTATAAATATAGTAATATAAAATATTATAGGGTTTTGTTTTTTATAACCGATTTTATTTGAAGTTTTATAAAGATCTGAGTTCATTTAAAATAATTTAATAAAAAAATTTATAGCGATATGCTACATTATTTTATTGCAAACAACTACCTAAATTAGCTTAGAAGCCTTCGCTTGATTCACTATCATCAGAAAAATTTAGTTCTATTTCGTCTCCAAAAATGGAACTTTCATGGTGTGCGTTGGACTCATTCGATGGTGCATCACTATTATTATATTCTTGCAGTGATTGCCACAGTCTTCTCTCGAGTCTTAGTAATGCACTTCTTCCAATCGAGCGACGTGCAGCTACGCTTTCTGTTGCCGGGATTGTAGTTTCCGTAGGTCCCTCTGATTTTGGCTCATTATTGCATATATAATTTAATAAATTTGTATTGCTGACAAGTTTCTCATCATCTTTTGCTGCCTGTGTGAACCAATCAATAGAAGTCTCATTCTCAATTTCGTCTTCATCCTCAACTGATTCACCATCGCTACCATATTTATCTGATTTGCATTTGGTACTTATCTTGTTATTATCTTGGCGATGCGGTATCTGAAATATTAAATAAAAATTCATCAATATTTTCTGAAAAGGTAAGAGATGTTCTTACTTACATTGGTTAATAAATTTTCTATACCGAATATGTTATATGGGTTATTGGAAGATGTTGTTTGGTTTACATGACTGAAAGGCATCTTCAGTTTTACTGGTACTGGAAACTACTCGTCCGTATCTTAAAAAATAAACTACAAAATATTTATTAAAAAAAGTTCGGATTTAATATATGTTATACCATTATTAAAATAAACAACGAGGAAGTGAAGTTTGGCTTTGTTGAATGTTTAGTATTATTGGATACTCTAATATTATGATACGCAATTTGTGTTATAGATTTACCTTGATATATTTTAACCGAGATATGACGTTATGTCTGATATACTGCACTTTTATTACTAAACACCATAATCGTCTATGTCTGCACCCACGTTCTTGTGTTTTGAATGCTATGAAATATACTTTAAGACTGACTTTTATTCTTGACAACTGTTTTCAATAATTTTATATAATATTTTTTTAGTAATAAAATACTTCTTATTAAGGAAAAACTGTGCGATTAAACTCACAATATTTATTTACCCAATAACGACAGTAGTGAAGATAACTACTTCACAACAAAAGGTCTACACAAAGAGGTTGTTTTTTCTGTCTACATATATCATTATTAGATTTTTTTGTAGCACATTATGATATATATATTCTAATATAGTAAGTGTTTTTAGCATGATGTTAATGAGTTTGTGATTCTGTTTTCTTATATCAACCACACTGCAATCTGATTGAATATCACTTTATTATGTGTCTGGGAAGCATTATGTGTTTGGTTCTTTGAAGTAAAATCTTAAAAACATTTTTATGAGCTAAGGTTATTTAAGTAATTGTGATTGCAATTTAGAATGAATATACCAGGTTAGGTTAGGATGCACCGGCGATCCCAGGGGGATCTACTTAGACTTAGAGGCCCATTGTGCTACCGTATTATTAAAAACCCAAGGGCTAAAACTATCTAGAACCTTTGGCACAGCTTATGATCCTATCTAAAGGGAGGTCTTAAAGTTCGCCAAGATCCTCAAAAACGAAAAGCTCTAAAATGTTAAGACGGCGCCGCACAAATCAGGTGGGAATATATTATGAATATATTAGATTATAAGTTCCAAGTAGTTTTATAATAGTTTTTAGCACTACTAAACTCATTGAGCTTATTTGAAAATTAGATTATCCAACTATAATATCCATTTAATCTTTTGAAATCGTTTGAATGAATTTATATATGGGTTTAGTATTTACGTTTTTGTTTTGGTTTTCTAAAGACATTCGATTCAATCAAATAAGTTAACATTGGAAAGCCTTGGTCTATTCATTAATCAGTTAAAACTTTTCGACATCACACCACGGTATTTAGGAATCCCAAATTATGTCCTCTGCCATATTATTTGATCACTAATTAAGGCTGCAATTTGTTAAAGTATCTTTCCCTTAAATCTTAAAAATAGTAATTCACACATATGTTTCTGATGTTAGCACGTTTTGATTGGCATTGCTACTTGAGTTTGAACTGGGCTTGGCATATTAATGAGAAAAAAAAAAAGAATTCATAATTAATTAATAATTAATGATTAATAAAAACATTAATAAGATAATATTATAATTATGAAATAAAACAGCTGAAAGCTGAAAGATAAAATATTTATGATTGACCTGAGACGTCACAGATATTTGATATATGAGCGTTGAAGACATGAGTTGCTACGAGTACATGGAATTATCTATAAAAAAGTTATAAAATCGAATATTTAACAAAAAACAATAAAAAATTGCTTCGTTTCATCGTTTCATTATGTGAGGCATGTGTGTAGCAAATAAATTTAATTGCCAGCAAAGTGAACTTCAATAATTTGCTTGTTTCAAGTATTAATTACTATTGTTTACATTTCCATTTATTGCAAAAACCTCAAACTGTTATTATTTTTATTACTTTGGTCTATGCACTCGCATGAAAGCGATTAAAATAGCAAAATCGCTTCAAAAGCTGCCTTAGTACAATTAATAAGCACAAAAAATAAAGGTCAATAACGCCGTAATCGAATGTGTTGAAGATAGAGTATCTGCCAAATCTATCTTTCTATCTTTCTGTCTATATATCTACACATCTACACATCTACACATCACCTCCGTCTCTAGGTCTCCTTGCGTCTGCCTTTTAAAATATCTAATAGGCAAGCAAAATTTTGGTGAATTTTTTTGTGTTGATTTCAATTCCTTCGTGTATTCGGACGCTTAACAAAACAAGTGTAATCGACAATAAAAATTAATAACCAATTACAGATACAAAAAATTCAATTATAAAAATTAAAATTAAATAATAAATTTGTAACATGAAACGCAACGCGATGAGCGATGCGAGATGTGAGATATGCGCTGCTACGCATGCCTATAGGCAGATGCGCGGCGTATTTATGCGATTTATTTATCGCGGCAGTCGAAGGTGCACTGCTTTTCATGCTTTTAATTGTGCAGCTTCGAAATATTCACATTAATTATTTTAAATGAATTTTTGAATCTATTTTTTTATTTTCAAATTAGTTCCGCTGACATGAAGTCTCATGTGTTACACACTCTCGGTTGATGTGATCATTACGCAGAGATATTGCACTATTAACGTAGTTATAGTTTCAGACTAACAGACAATGAAACTATCTTCCAGCGGAGAGCACAGAAATCTATCAAAAGATCAAATCAAACTTTACATCTTCTAAACGAAATTGAAATTTGCAACCGATACTTCTATTGCTTTTATTTTTGCTTGTCGATAAACATTGCTTCGCACGTTATGCATTATAGCCCTGCCTTTCTACACATATTGACAATAACTTTTTATATTTATTTTATATTTTATTGGTTGATTTGTTGTTTACAGTGACTGATCCACACAATTCAGTTTATAATGTTCAATAAATCTTTTTTTCTTACCGATCTGTAAACTGACAGACTATCAAGAAAGTGCTTTCCTAATAATCTACTGCTTTCGTTAGTCAAACCTGGACAGTCATAGAGACAGTGTTTGACTCTCTCTTCTTCTTCCAAGTTTCCGCAAGTTGTACAATAAGTATGTAATAAAATGCGTACTTCTTCTGCATGGGTTACATGAGAGGGCTGATAGAATTGCAATTACCCTAGGAAAATAATCTCCACACTAGATCCTGGATACTAGGTGCATCGGAATATTTTGCACATCGTATGTAACTTCCATTTATTTTTATTTAAATAGCGGCTAAATAGTAACAACTTTGTTGCTGTTGGCTTGATTGCATACAATAAGCTCTTATCGAATCACTTTGGGTCAGTTGAGCAATAGAGCAACTTAATGTTCATTACTAATCTTAATCTGTTACAAGACAGCTGCTTCATAAACGCTATGAACTTTATTGGGATTCCTAAAAGGTGACAATAGATGAAATGTGTTTTTAGAATTGTAAACTATCAGCTAGTTGCGATAATTTAAACTTTACATAGGTCAGGTTTAGTAGAGTGGCAGTCTTGTGCGCTAATGGGGCTGGACTTCTCCCAACCTAACAAGTCTATAAATATGGCTATGTTCGTACTTATAAATATTAGTTGGAAAAGAAGTTCCAAAGATTTTGAATCTTCTCTTAGTCGCGTTGATAAGCTGTGACTGTTTCCTCCACATCCGTAGAATGGTATAACCTTAAATTTTTTATAATTCTCATTTTATTATGAATCATATTTATCATCTCTATTTCCTGTCTTCTGTCAATAAATTCAGATATCTTAACTCTACTTAACTCTACTTTTTGCATTAATTTATATTTATTTATTAGTTGATGGATGTTATAAATTTCTACGTAAGTAAAATCTTCGTGGACTCACGCAGAGTGGCGGGCATTTTCAAATAACTACATCCGTCTATATTTCATCTGTCATCGTCATTTGATAGCGTTTCATATGTGATCGTCGCATGCAGGCTAACCGAGAGTAAATCGTTTAAAGACTCATTAGCAAGTCCGATTTATGCGATCGTAGACATAAGTAAGTAATCGAAAAGTTTTATGGAAGCTGTGCGAACTCATCTGCTGACCAAATCAATAATTTGTCTAAACTGATCGTAAAAATGTTTGTTAATACAGAGTTTCGTATCTGCGGCTATTCAGATGCGAGTTTCTGTTTTTTAGCAATTAATTTTGTTTATTGCAACCGTTCACGTCCGCATTTCTCAGTGCGAATAAACGGTTTTTTCGTCGCAGATACTTTATTGATTTCATTAATTCATTAATTCATAAATAAATTCATTTGAGTGTAAATTAGTAGTCGTTAGATACTTTGACATGTACGTGCGCTCATGCAAATTCCGTTTTTTCATCTCGAAGCGATTTTAAGGTAAAAACTGCAATTAACTGAAAATGCTTCAATTTGCTCTGCGGAGATGCTTCGTAATTGTTTTTATGATTTTAAAATATCTCAGGTCATTATTTTTAATGCTTGTTTAATTGGTTTCAGTGCCGGTTGTCCTTTCGGAAATACAACTTTCCTTTAAGTATTTTCCAACAGAGTTGTGCAATTAAATCTTTTTTATGTGACTTTTATTTTAATGAAAAAAAATTTAAATAAAATATTCATGAAAATTGTAAATATATTATTTTTTATTTTTTTCTGATTTATTACTTAATTTTGCTATGAATCATACGCAATATTATTATTTTGCTACTAATAAATATTAATATTTATTATACCATATTAATATTCAATATCTCTTCTTCGATTCGTAATATTGTTCGTTCGTAATATTGTTCGTAATATTACTTTATTAACAAAAAGATAGATAAAAAGTCAAGTTAGTTTTTAATATATACTATACGATAAAGGGCTGTAACAACTGCTGACATGGTATATCTGCCTTATAAATAGCGAAGATAGGTTAGGTTGTCACAGTGATTATAGGATTCCACATAGATATAGTGACCCATTGTTTAATCTAATAGGCCCCAGGTTTCAGAACTATTTCGAATCATTTTAGGAACTATAAGTTACTTTTCAATGGCGATCCAGTTATGTGTGTTACGTAGGTACTGGGTAGCAGTAGTGAGGCACCTTGGAATATAAAGCCAATCTGCCAACATCTTGTGTTGAATTATTTATAATTATTTTGCTATGTATGTAGAATAAGAGAATGTATATAAATGAATTAATCAATAAACTCACTCTCGATCTGACTGCCGAATGAGTAATACGTCGTTGAAGAGGACATTCTATCTCTATGGAGTATCTCAAGTAGATATCACAATTTAAGAGATCAACAATGAAATGGTTAACTGCATCGATGCAATAACAACCACGCGGTGTTACGGATAATCAATGTTTAAGGCGGTTAAATTATAATTATTATAATTATAATAAT